ACATGGTTAGCAAGCGCTAACAGAGTGACTATAGGGGTGTCATGTCACAGGTGGGCCATGTGTGTATGTATTGGGGGGGGGGGGGGTTCCTTACGTGCTGAAGGTGTCCATCTCACTCGTCAGGTTGATTCTCTCAGCTAGAGACTTCTCCACCTTCTCCTTCAGCTTCTCCTCCAGCTGGGGACACATAACGTTAGGATCCATTTAGAACCGCAGTGCGTGGACTGGTCACGTTTAGAACCCATCGGCTCCTCACTGCTTTAGATAAACTTTTAGGAGGAGATTAAAATCCCGCTGGTATAGAGAGACCTGGTGACACCAATCTCCCTCTCCCCCAGATGTCCCCTCGCTAGCCCTACCTCCAGCACCAAGGTCACATGATCACTGGGTCCCAGTTTGTCCAGAAGTGTTCCTCCCTCACCAGTGTGTAATACAGTAACTGACATATCCTGACTGGCTTGCCCACAGTAAGGCTCCTGACCTGCTGGGTGGTGGCCAGGCAGTACTCTGCAGTACTCAGGATGCTGCAGACCAAGCACAGCTCGTCCACCGTGAACTTGGCCACCTCTGAACCCTCCTTCTCCTTCAGAAGGCTGCTGATGGTGAGCCCGCCGCCTGAACTGCTGCTGTTCCTAGGTGAAGGGAGGATGGGCGAGATGACATCTCCAGCCGCATCACACACTTATGGAATGTTGTTGCGAGCTTGGCCACAGGGGGGCACTCTCACTTGGGCAGGTTCCCAGACAGGATCTTCCAGGCGTATTCCCGCAGGTACTTCTGGAAGATGGTGGTGAGGGCAATCATGGGCTCGCCGGTGCTCAGCTGTGAGCACTGCACCATGCACTTCTTGTAGTACACAAAGAGGTCGGCACAGCTGGGTAGCACGGCGCCCCCTTCCTCCGAGCCCGGCTTGGGCGGGCCCTGGGCGCGGAAGTCCGCCACGAAGCGGTCGATCAGCTCGCCCAGGTTCCTGCGGTGGCCGGGCAGAGACAGAGCGGGCATCACCTACGCCGTTCTCCTTCTCACAGCAAGGAATCGTGAGGGAAACATCAGGCGCTGAGGAATTACTTCAGCGGTGCTTACATGGGAATGTAGAAGGTGATTATCTGGAGGAGCAGGCGGCAGGGGCGGGGCGGGGCGGGGGGGTAAGCAGGGGCTGACGATTAGCTAGGGGCATTAAATGTATTTTTCCACAAGCTAAACAGCTTCTGTTTCCGCTCGTGACTCAGAGATGTAAAATAAAGCGGAACAAACAAGTCGGGGGTGGGCAGAGGGGAATGAAGACCCCTCAACGCCCACCCCCCCCCAGCCAGTCTGCTTTGGTACTGCTCAGCAAGTCTGCTGCTGCTGTGGTCAGACCGCTAATAGGAAACATTTCTGGGTCGTCTGAAAGCTAGTGGGGGTGGAAATGTTGGCGGGAGGGCCATGGAAAATGGGGCTGGGGGTCGGGATGGATCACCGTGCCCCGAATCCCCTGGAATGGCCCCCTGAAGCCATTACACCGAGCGCCGGGCGGCCGACCAGGTCTGGGCCCGAACCCCGGCTGAGACTCACTTGTCCTGAGACTCGATGTACACATACAGATGGGGCTCAAAGCACTTGGACACGATGCCGTGAAACGGGTTCTCTGGGGCCTTTGGCTTTCTGGGCTAGAGGAGAGAGGAAAACGGCGGTCACTCGTCGGCCGGGAAGGGCTCCGGGAAAACCTGCTTCCCACGCTCATGCCGGCCGCCCCGCCGCCATCAAGCGCAGGTGGAGGCCCCAGATGCAGGCCGACAACTGAGCGCTCCGCTCAACAGCGCTAGTGTACACACAATGCACGGTTCTGCATCTTTCTGGAAAACCTGGAGACGAGTAACCCCAATAAAAGTGATACCATCCACACCACATGCCTGGAGACTATGGTGATGTGCTGAATATGGGCAGGGCCTCACCTTGTCCAGCTCCTCCTCTTTCTCTGACACGGCGTCCTCCCCTGGCTCGTCCTCCAGGAAGGGGTTTGTTGCGTCGAGGGGAGATTCCACCTTTTTCTGTAAAGTACAGTAAGACAAACGTCAATGAAGTAGGAAGACCTGAGACTAGCTACACACCTGTTAGCTTTGTAACTACTCTCAGTATTGGCTGGTTACTTATCTAACTGCCTTAATGAGCCACATCGAGGTACTTAAAGGCCATCCTGTGTGATGTCATCACTCATTCAGGCCATGTCCTTTACCTGAAACGCTTCTGTCATTCCCTGAGGCACCGGGAACTTACCGGCACGCCATCGTTCAGAGTGCAGCCTGAGAAACGCTTGATGAGCAACCCCTCGAAATTGGTGGTTCGCTGGATGGCGAAGAGAAGCAGCTTCACCTCGATCTCCCTGGCACGGGCTCGCATCAGCTTGGCCAGCTCCGCCCTGGCCAAAGGAGAGGCACAGGGGAACGCTTGGTTGGCGTGGCGCACTCAGGCTATGTGATGTGGGCGGGGCTGTGGGCGGGGCATACCTGGTGACATGGCAGAACTCCACAGCGATCCGCTCCGTCATGCACCACTCCGCCGGGAACATGCGGCTGTACTTCTCCTCATAATCCACCAGTTGGCGTTTGATCCAGGCATACCTCCGGTCTATTTTGTCCAGCCAGGCCACCTACAGCAAACAGGGGGGCCAAGCTGATCCACCACGATGGTGAAATCTCTCGTATCTACCCCCCACTCCAGTGACGACTATACTCACATCCTGGTTCTCCTGGAACAGCACCAAGTACTCCGAGAGGTGCTGACGGATGAACTTCTTGATGATCTCCTGCTTGATCCGGGGCTCCAGGACGTTGGCCACCAGGCAGGCATCCCTCAAAACGTTGCTGGGACCCCCAGGTTTCTGAAACATCATGAGAGCTGTGGCTCCCCGTCGGGATTTGGGTTTCGGGCATGGAGAGAAGGGTTGGGGGCCATTACCGGGAAAGAAAGTAGGAATGTTCTCGTAAGGTCATGCAGCTTCTTATGAGTCATTATTTCCTCACCTTTGACCCCTGAGAGGGAAAAGACTCCTCAAAGTCGGCCAATATCTGAGTGCCCAGCTCACTCTGCACCGCCTTCACCCTGCAGGGGGGGCACACGCAGAGGTGACAAGGCAACATCTCCGAGTGACAGGTGCTCAGCCAGACACCCAGCACCATGGAAAACTCTGATTGGCCGGCAAAGAGCTCCGAGTACCTGCCTCGGGACGCGGGTTCAGCCAGACACCAGACACGGGCGCGACTTCATTCCATCCCCAGAACAAGACGACCCATCCAGAGTAAACAAGAGTCCCGAAGAAAAGAGGGCCTTCCATAAAATGCCAAAGCTAGCTTTTTACACCCCTCCACGCCCCTTCCCAGGGCAGACAGACACAGCCCGTCCTTGCCTGGCTGTCCCAGCCCACGGCACCTCCAGCTCAACACTAAATATTTACCCAGGGTGGGCTGTTAGGTCGGGGCGTGAATCCGGCCGCTTGGCCCAGCAGCTCACGGCCTCCGCCACATGCTTCTCGAGGGCCGAGAGACCCTACCTCACCGCTAACCCGCCTTCAGGAGTCCGTTCTCGTCCCGAGGGAAGTGGCTCCCGCAGTGTGTGGGTGGGGGGTGTGTGCGACCATATGTGTCACATCTGCAGCAGCAGGTTATGGAACAATCAAAGGAGCACGCTCAGTGCACACACACACACACACACACACACACACACACACACACACACACACACACACACACACACA